AAAAAAAAAGAAAAAAAAAAAAAAAAAAATGATGAGCCTGGGGTATCTTGTAGTACCAGGAAATAAGAAAGTACTAGGAAGGAAGGAAGAAAGAGAAGGAAGAAAGAGAGGGAAGGAAGGGAAAGAAGAAAGAGAGGGAAGTGAGGGAGGGAAGGAGGGAAGGAGGGAGGGAGATGGACTGCACTCACTGAAAGGACATGTCAAAGCAACATAGGAACCAACTAAAAGAGCGCCCAATGACCAACAGTGGAACTATTTGAGCAACAAAATAAAGTAGCATGGAGTATAATCCAAAATATAAAATGAATATACATGAGTCCATACTGATATCAAGTGTTTGAATGAATGAATGAATGAACGAATACAAATCTCCCTTGCAGAAAAATTCCAAATAATTTTTATAGATATTTGGCCCTCAAGGAAGTAGAGCATAACTCACCACTCCTTAAGTAGGCCTGCACACAGAGCTTCCTTCCAAAGAGGACAGTATGGAAAAGGAGGGAAAAGGGTAACTTTCCAATGCAACCTGACAACACTACCTCAGCTAGGTGATCAAGGTCAATATCAATAGTAATAAATCAAGTTGACAGTATTTACCCTTGATATGATGTGTTTAAAAGGGTACTTTAACTCTATGATTTTCCTCTAAAAAACCTGTAACACCAATCTAATCATAGGAAAACATCAGACAAATCCCAGTAGAGAGGCACCTATAAAATACTGCACAAATTCTCCTCAAAACTGTTAAAATCATCAAAAACAAGGAATCTGAGAAACTGTCACAGCCAAGAGGAGCCTAAGATATGAAAAATAAATGTAATATGGTATTATAAATGGGATACTGAAGCAGAAAAGGACATTAGATAAAAACTAAGAAAATCTGAATAAACTATGTACTTTAGTTAATACCAATGTATTATTACTGGTTCATTAACTGTGTCAAATGTACCATACTAATATAAGATGTTAATTAATAGAGGAAAATAGGTGTGGGTACACTAGAACTCTGTGTAATATCTTCTCAATTTTTCTATGAATCTAAAATTTCTAAAAAATAAAATTTATTTTTAAAAAAGTGAAGAAAATCAGGATATGTGATATCCAGGAGAAGCAGTCTAAACAAAAATAGGGTAACATTTAACAATTTAATAACACAGACTACTACCACTTGATAAAAGGTATACTGATAAACATGAGATACACTTAGAAAGACATAAACTGTAATGTATTTCTCACAGACAGATTTCAGTCTATCACCAATCCTGCTATAAAGCAATGATAATTAAGAAGAATAGTTTATAAACGTGGCAAAACTTAGATTATTTTTTAAAATATGTTAAAAACGTGATGACTCAGCAAAATTATTTCAGGGGATATTTTCAAATTCACTAGCACCAAAATTTCCTTTGGAAGCTTTCAAATAAAATACCAAGCCACTGATAACCTTTATTCTACTGCTTTTTAAAATGTATTTTACTTTAAATATTTTTCAAACAAACTAGATCAAGTAGTTTGTTTTAATCAGTGAGGAAATAGTTACATTCTTATAGGTTAAGGGAACCTGAAAGGACAACCCCCTTCATATTAAATTTTAATACAGAAAAGCAGACCATCAAAACTCACCTTTACTAACAAGCTAAATGTCTTATTTTTTTTAAATAATAAATAGCTCAAACTCATAGAAAGAGAAAATAGATAGGTGGTTGCCGGGGTGGGGGGTGGAAGATGGAGAAAATGAGGGAACGTAGTTAAAGGGTACAATCTTCCAGTCATAAGATAAGTTCTGGGGATCTAATGTACAGCATGTGACTATAATTAACAATGCCGTATTTTTTTTTTTTTAATCCTCACCCGAGGATATTTTTTCCATTGCTTTTCAGAGAGAGTGGAAGGGAGAGAGAGGGAGAGAGAGAAACATCGATGTGAGAAAGACACATCGATTGTTGCCTCCTGCACCCACCCCAACTGGAGCAAGGGATTGAGCCTGCAACCAAGGCATGTGCCCTTGGCCAGAATCAAACTTGGGATCCTTCAGTCCTTGGGCCAACACTCTCACCACTGAACCAAACCCGCTAGGGCAATACTGTATTTTATATTTTGAAGTTGTTAAGATAAATTTTAAGAGTTCTCACCACACACAAAAAAAATATTTGTTGCCTGGCCGGGCGTGGCTCAGCGGTTGAGTGTAGACCTAGGATCCAGGCAATCGGGGTTCAATTCCCGGTCAGGGCACATGCCCGGGTTGTGGGCTCGATCAATGACTCTCTCATCATTGATGTTTCTGTCTCTGTCTCTCTCTCTCTCTCCGTCTCCCTTCCTCTCTCTGAAATCAATAAAGATCTGTTTAAAATATATATATATATATTTGTTACTGTGTGAGGTGATGGATGTGTTAACTAACCTTATTGTGGTAAACATTTCACAATGCATACATATAGCAAATAAGTAGGTTGTACACCTTAAACTTATGCAATGTTATATGTCAATTATATCTCAATAAAGCTGGAAAACATTAAAAATTAAAAACTTTAACTGATGGGTTGGATATTTTACTCATTGACTTTCAGTCAAATGTTATGCTTTTAAATATTTCAAAGGTTAAACAATAACAGTCACTATCTACTGTACGACTACAAAGCTAAGTGCTTTCTAGCCATTGTCTCTACTTTCACAACCCTCCATGGTCAGTATGGTTATACCTATTTTACAAAAAATGAAACATACTCATAGCAGCTAAGTAACAGATACTGACAGAGCTAGAATTTGAACCTAGACCTATCTGACTCTACAGTTTCCCCTCCCATGCCACGCAAATGGCAACCTTACATGGGCAAAATCTCTAGTCTAAAGAGATTAGCTTGTAATTTAAAATCTTCAGATCAACAGTGACAGTAATCTGATTGTACAGGGTGGGGCACAAGTAGGTTTGCAGTTGTTCATATGGAAAATAACACAATAATAAATACTAATACAAGAATAAACTGTTTTGTGTATTCACAACAGTAAACCTACTTTTGCCCCATTCTGTATATATTAGTAGGATATATTCTAAGGACAAAGAGAAGTACAAAAATCTTGATTTTATTTTTGATTGCTTCAATTTATTGCCTTATTATCATTATCAATGCTTAAATAGTTCATAATTGGCCATGAAGAGCCTCCTGAGTCTTTTGGGATGACCCTAATAGTCTACTGGTAGCTTTTTGTTTTCTGGTATAACAAGATATTGTAGATTCATCTTTTTTTTTTTTTTTTTAATGTATTTTTATTGTTGAAAGTATTACCGATATCCTCTTTATTCCCCACTGGCCCTCTCCACCCAGCATCCGCCCCCCTCCCCAAAATCTTGAATTTAGTAAGTTTGTTGTTAGTTATGATGTCAGTGGTGAAATTCTGAAACTGTTTTTTTGTGCATGTTATAACTTTGAGCATATGAATAAACATGCAAAGTACTGGAAATCAGGGTTTTTTTCTGAGAGAAGGGAGATACTGTTACAGAATGGTGAAAATGAGGAAGAACCTTATGGAACTAGATTTGAATTGGAGGTTTCCATATGAATTCATAATATTTAAAAATATTTTTTTCTACCTCTGGCCTGTAAAAGAAGTTGGAAGTAATGACATTCACTGCTAGCAATGAAAACACCCAACACTCCGATCTTTGTTTCTTAAATACCACTCTCCTCCCTCTTAAGGGAACCAAAGCTTCTTGGAGGAACAGCTCCAAGTCTAGGCTAGTCTAGGTCTAGACTAGAGCAAGGAATGTAAAAAGCGAGTAGCTGGATCATCTTGTAAAAGAAAGCAAAGAAGTCTAGAATGACCGAGATGAAAAGAAAGAAGACTCAAATTACTGAAATCAGATATAAAAGACAAAACATTAACACTGACCTTACAGAAATAAAAAAATGTAAATACAACAATGATGAACTATATGCCAACAAATTAAATAACTTAGATGAAATGGAAAAATTCCTAGAAAGACATAAACTACTGAAACTGACTCAAGAAACAGATAATCTGAATAGACCTATAACAAGTGAAAAGTTTGAACTAATACTTTTAAAAATTTCCCACAAAGAAAAGTCTAGGTCCAGATTGCTTCATCACTGAATTCCACTAAACATTTAAAGAATTACTACCAATAGCCTATACAAACTCATCCAAAAAAATAAAAGAACTTATTTTATGAGGTCAATATTACCCTGGTATCAAAAGCAGACAAGAACATAAAGAGAAAACAGAACTACTGACCTGTATCTCATAACTAAGAATGTAAAAATCTTCAACAAATTCTAGCAAACCAAATCCAGAAACAAATAAAATAAAAAGAATTATATATCACAAGTGAAATGTATCCCAGAAATGCAAGCTTGGTTTGACTTCCAAAAATCAATTAATGTATCATATCAACCGAAAAAAAATCACCAGATCAGCCCAACAGACACAGAAAAAGCACTTGACAAAAACCACACCATTTTGTATTAAAAACACTCAGCAAACTAGGAAAAGATGGAAACCTCCTCAACCTGATAAAGGGCCTATATGAAAAACCCACAGCTAACATTATAATTAACAGAGAAAAACTAATGCTTTACCCCTAAGATCAGGAATAGGATAAGAATGTCTGTTCTCACCCAGCCGGCATGGCTCAGTGGTTGAGCATCAACCTATGAACCATTAGGTCACAGTTCAATTCCTGGTCAGGACACATGCCCAGGCTGAGGGCTGGATCCCCAGCTGGGGGCATGCAGGAGGCAGCCAATCAATCAATGGCTCTCTGTCATCACTGATGTTTCTATCTATCTCTCTCCCTCTCCCTTCTTCTCTCTGAAATCAATAAATATATATATTTTTAAAAAGAATGTCTGTTCTCACCACTTCTCTTCAACATTGTACTGGAGGTTCTAGTCAGGGCAATTAGAAAAGAGAAAGAAATGAAAGGGATCACGATTGGAAAGGAAAAAGTAAAACTGTATTTATAGGCAACATGATCATATATACACACAAACAGAGAGACATATATATTCCTAAGGAATCCACTAAAAACTATTAGAACTAATAAGCTAGTCTGGCAAGGTTGCAAGATACAAGATCAACATATAAAAATCAAATATATTTCTGATGCACTCTCCCTCCTGGGAGCACTCCCATGCCTTTCCCTTCCCTCCTTCTTCTTGCCTAACAGGCGTGCAGCTCCTAAACTCTAAGGGTCCCCATGAGACTTGCAACCAGGGAATACATATTTCCTGGAAGGAGGAGAGAAACGAATAGAATGTTTATTAAATACAACTTGAAAGAGAGACAACCTAACAAATTATTCCTATTCAATTTTTTTACATTTTATTTCCTATGATTTTGTGGCAAGTTTATCTTGATTTTACATTTTGAGTAAGAATTAAAAACAAAAATTCTACTTTAACTAGTATAAATCACTTAAAAGTTATGAGGAGGTGGGGACAAGATCAGTAAGGAGAACCTACCTCCATCATTACTAACTTATCAGGATATGCCAGATCTCCAGGAGCTGGCTTGTAGCCAGTGATATCAGTCTGAATGTAGATGTGGGTTCGATAGACGAGCCGCTCTTGTACATCTTCCAACATCTGCTTTACTCCAGCTGCAAATGCCCCTAGTTGTTCAGCTGATTAAAAAAAAAAAATCATCCATTCCTTTAGATTTACAAAAATACTTTCTTTTAACAAGCAAATATATTACTAAATTGTCTAGTAACAGTATGAACCATTTTTGCTTCATGGACTGTAGTGCATATGTATTCTATTTCAGTAAGACTCAGTGATCTTAGAAAAATTTAATAAATGTCTTTCGATTTCCTCAAATTTACAATTGGGAAATAACTCCGCTCTTACATCTTCTTCCTGGGGCTCTGTGAAATTATTTCTATTATTAATATGTATGAATAATAAAATCTGACTTCTAAAGTACTTTGTGCTTTTTAAGTTATCTCAGACAGCTTCAGACAAATCCTGAGAGATAACTAAGGCAGCTTATTAACTGGGTTATCATCCCCATTTTACAAATAAATTGAGTCCCACAGATATTAAATGACTTGTTAATATTTTCACAAAGAAAATTGATTAAAAAATAAAAAGAGATATGATTTTATATAGAATTTATTCATTTCTAAGATGTCGTCAATGTTAAGACACATCAGTAATTCAGTAACAGCTTTCTAATGACTGGGGAGTTGAAGACACTATACAATCACATAAAAATTCACATTAATTTCTTTTAAATCATTTTTAATTCAGAAGCATTAAAATGTGAGAAAATGCCCTCCTTAATTTCAAATGCAAAAAAGAAACTGCAAAACTGTTATTCTCGGAGCATTTGATCTTGCTCCCCAGCTTATGTCATCAGCTTGGCTCAAATAAACACAAAAGTTCAAAAATAATGAGAAACTGTATGTTTTTGAATAAACTAAATGCAGTAGAATAAGATACTTTGGAAGAGTAACAAACCTATAGTATCTCCTAAGGAAAGTCAAATCATTTCTGCCAGTAAAATAATTACTTGAAAGGTATTTTTTAAAGGTACCTAAGTACCATCAGGAAAATTGTTTTCTATGACAATCAAATCAAATATTGAGGAGTGTACCACATGGATAAAGCAAATCTGTTTTAGGGAATTGCTTTTCTTTGTCATTTCAAAAAACATTATTACTATGTATGTATGCTGAAATAATTCCTGTTTTTTAATCAAGAGTATACAATATAGTCAATTCTTTATGTATTCTGGTAAGTGTACTAGAAATAACTAATCATCTGTTCTCTCTGAATTTCAAGATGCCAGAAAGAAAAGTAAGTATAATTATTTTATTACTAATTTTGCCCAGATTTTAAAATGCTTTCCTGACCCAGCCGGGCACGGCTCAGCAGTTGAGCATCCACCTATTATCCAGGAGATTGCCGTTCAATTCCCGGTCAGGGCACATGCCAGGGATTGCAGGCTCAATCCTCAGTGGGGAGCGTGTAGGAGGCAGCTGATCAATGACTCTCTCATCATTGATGTTTCTGTCTCTCTCTCTCTTCCTCTCCCTTCCTCTCTCCGAAATCAATAAAGACATATTATTAAAAATTTAAATTAAATAAAATAAAATGCTTTCCCCATTTTATTTACACATGTAGTCACAGATTAAGGTGCATCTTGATTCAAAAAGAGACGAGGCATCAACCCAGGTTTCAAAAATATTAAATCTGTGCTGGGATAGGGGGGAATAAAAGTTGATCTTTTTCAAATTCACTGAGGCACAGATATAATTTAAAAGACCTCTGAAATTATCACTTCTACTTATCATTTACCATTGTTCTGTACATGATCTTCAAGCACCTCATTTTTAAGAATCCCACAAAGTTCCGAAAGTGTCTCTAAGTGAATAACATGAATGATCAACGGCCTGAAGACATCATACAATGACACACACAGTTTCTCCAAAAGTTCACTAAAATAAAGAAATAAAACATGGTTTAGTAGCAATCTTTCCAGTTTAAAAGGCATCTTTGATTTCTCCCAGCCAATAAACATAGTAAAAATCTACTAGAAAACAGTATAGGGGACATTTTATAATGAAGAGTGAAAGGCTGAAAGTAATTCTGTAAAGTGTTGTTTTAAAAGCCAAGAATCAATAAATAATCAGTAATCAATTCAAATTAGCTGCCCCCAGCCAAATGTCAATTTATTACAACTTTTATTTATTTCAGTAATAACTCTGTATATGTACCTTCAAAAACAATAAAAAGTATTTCAGTATACTTAATTATCCTTCTATATTCTACATTTCTGTGAATCAAATGGCAACATTTTCCCCAGGAAAGCTAAGTTCTTGATCACTTACAGATTTAGATAAACAAATCTCAAAGTACTCTTGACATATAAGCATTTTGACAAAAATACTTGAAAAGAAAAAATTATGTTGTCTATATTCTTCATATTGTCAAAAGTATTCTTCTATATCCCTTATTTCATCAAAAGTGATCAACCCAACCAAAACGGTAAGATACATTTGTCTCTTCCCCATTATAAGGGTAATAGTCTTGGAATCTTTATAAATGCCCAAATTGCCAATAAAAAGAAAACGAAAGTTAATAATAGTGGATCTGAAAGACACTTTGAGAAAAAAATTTTAAAGGATATTAAATAGTGTGTATTCTTAACTGTTTTTTGTTAGTTAGAATCACAGAATTTTTCAACTGGAAGGACTTATTATACTTGGTGGAGATAAAGGGATCTAGATCCCAAGACTTAGTTCTCTATATAGGATTCTCACTTATTATACCATACCGTCTCCATAATTATATTATGAACAATACGAAAGCATGTTGCCCTTTAAATTACACATGTATTTACAATAAACAAACATTGACCCACTCAACAATACTCACACACCCACAAAAGTTAAAACACTGCATATAACTTAAAAATACTCCTATGAACAGAACAGATTCAATGACATGGAAGCATAGATCAGACTGACGAATGTCAGAAGGATGGAGGAGAGCAGGTGGGTAGAGGGGGAGAGAGTAACCAAAGAATTTATATGCATATATGCACAACTCAAGGACACAAACAATGGTGGGGAGAGGG